CTCTTTCCGGTACACTGCTGGTAACGCAGAATTGCAAGGGATGCGAGGAGCATCTGCGCTTTTATCGCAGTGTTCCCTTACTGAACACTGACTGCGGTAACAGAGTCACAAATGGACCAATCTGTCTGTTCAGCGGCGTTTTTGTTACTGTAGCGGCATAGGTCTTCCTGAGAACATCGGTATCAGAAAACACGGTCTCTCAAATCTGCCCGGTTGTGACTTGCCCGCTTAGCCTTTTCCATATAAAAACAAAGCCTAAGTTTCCCATCGGCACGGAGGATAAATGTTTCATCCCCGTGGGTTTGGATCATACGAGAGTTAGAGCTGAACCCGAGTCAACACCTTGCTCTGACATAGCCCAAGCTGTCAGGGGATTTGGATGAGAGCCTGCAATTCATGGCCTAGCCTAAGTCTCGTAGCAGATATTGACGCAACTCGAATGCTCCTGACGAAGAAAGGACCAAGTCTGGTGTTTTGCAAGTCCCCACCCATTATGGGTCAGTCACTGGTGGCAATGAGATAGTGCTTTCGTATCAAAGGTAATCCATCATTACAATGATGATCCTTGCCTTTAATATGAAATGCATAGCACTAGCTTTTAGGCAATACAAGCGGTTATACGATGTGAAGTTAATGCCCTTGGCAGGGTGACGGGAGGGAGGAGAAAGATTTATATGTCTGTCTTCTTCTCTGCTCTCACAGCTGCGCCTCGGGGCTGCTGTGACACTCGGGTGTCACGTCAAATTGAAGTTAGTAGTGCCCTCCCCTCTCCCAGAGCTTTGAGGAGCCAGCAGCCAGCTCTGATTGAGTCTGTCAGCTTCGATAAGACACTCTTCTCACCCCCTCGGAGAAATGACTGGCCTGCCTTGTATTCATCTGCAGACATGACACGGAGGCCAAAAATTAACCCTTTGGCATGATACGTTTGATGAAATAGGTATAATATGAAAGCCATGGATTATTAGTCCATCTGCTCAACAGCGTGAAAGGCAAAAAATTAAGAGTTACAGCTAAGCAAAAAAATAAAAAAGGATTTCTCAGGAACAAAGGAGGGAAAAATATGTCATACTTTCACAGCTGCGCAGCACTACAGTTCAGGTCCCCTGCCCCTCAGTCCTACTGTGACTACGTGAAAGTTACAAGTGTCCTACTTCTACGATGCATTTTAATAGGAATTACAGAAATCACAGGAAGATTTTTGAAAGAGTGCTTTAAAAAGCAAATAGAGCTGCAAAAAAACCCTTTAAACCACTCTTCCTTTAAAAGCTTGTTAGTTTTGTTTTCTTTTTATTGGACAGGGAAGGCAGGCGATGAGCACACTGCCGTTTCAACATTGGTTTTCAGCAGAATCACGCCTTTCTTCTACAACTTGTCCAAAAGTTTCTTAGCTGGGTGTCCAATATTTACATCCTATTGTCAAATTGTCCTTCCCCGTAGACCTGATTTCTTCCTCTGGATCATCAGGGACAGGAGAACAGCTGTAGGCGAACCACTGGTCTGATCAGCAGTGACAACTCCTGTGTTGCTATGCTCCATGTCGCCAGCTAAAAAGCTCATTTAGGTATCATCTGAACTAGAAAACACCAGTGCTGGTATTATTATTGCTAGGTGTTCAGACCCAGTGTCAGTGTCACAGTCCAGCCCTTTACAGAGACTTCAGTTGCCAGCTCCTCTATTAAATGAGTTCTTTACCTAAAATGAGACACTGAGCCCCCTTTAATGTCTGATTAAACAAGTGAACCCTCCCAACTACTGCAGCGCTGAGTGCAGAGCGAGTCTTCTAGTTTCTGTTGGGCAAGGTCTCTACATCAGTGAACTTGGCACTCACGGAGATTTTGGGGAGTGAAAGGCCAAGAGGGGCAAAAGGGTCATGTTCAGCAAGAAAAAGCAGACCAGGGCCCAGGGCAGTCGGGAAGCTGGCCTCCTATGCAACCGGTTCTGACTCCTGTCTTGCTCCAGTTTGCCCAGGCTGACTGTAGGATTTTATCAGTGACAATGTATTCTTTGAAGAAAACAACAAAAAGGTGTTTACTACTCTAATCTTCATCCATGATTGTCATTTTATGTATATTGATATATAGGCACGCACAATTGTATATTATTAGATATACACACATATAAAATTAACTCGACAAGAAGCATCTAATACCCGCACATACGCTCACACATCACATACAAATGTCTAGGGAAAGGTATTAAAACAATCCTCTTCATCAAAGCCCGTCAAGCACAGAACACAACAGTCACTTTGTATGACTGGGTAGACCATTTGTTTGCCTTGACTATCTATTTCTATAGCCTAATATGCTTGAATGTCTCTTAAGCATTTGATCAATTTTTAACAAAATTGTCTAGAGCTTCTTTCTTTAATCTGCTTTGATCTACATGAGCTCCCTTTGCTTTCCTTAAAAAATAACGAAGTATGTTAACTCCAAAGACTATGTTCAGTTGCAGGTTCTCGTATTGCTATAAAAGTCGACAGAAGAAACAGAAGGTCTTAGCTGCCTTACCTTCAGCCGAAAACAGACCAGTCCCAAGACAACCTCAGCGCAGATCTCAAATCTTTCATCCTGAAGGACTAAATGTTCAAACAGATGCGACAGCCTGACGTGCTGAGAAGAGAAAGATAGTATCTACATTGTATAAATTTGATTCGTCAAGAGAAAAGATGTGCTAAATGGTTCAGGTTCAGTTGAAAAGAGAGGTGATGGCAGTACGATCAAGCAAATGGAGAGCGCGTCTCAGCCAACCTGTTTAGAAGTTGCTGGGGAAAAAAGAGTGGCATTGGGCACCAAGCCAGAGCAGTGGCTTTGAAGCACAGGAAACCAGTGCTCTTCCCAAATCAAACAAGTAGGAAAAACACCAGCAGGCATACTAACAACCAGCTGGGAAGACTCAACATCAGTCCGTGATGCTTGCATACTCATACCACATTTTGCTTTCTCCCCCACGGGAAATGAATTCACGAGCACTTGGAAAAAAAGAACCCATATCCTCATCAGGTGCCTGCAGTGCCTTATCCAGTCCCTCTCTCACTGGCTATCATCGGTTCAGTGCTCACTACCCTAAAAAAAAAAAAAAGACCGCAGCAACCAGCTATTAGAATGACAGTGTGTCGCCGGGCAATAGCCAGCCTGCACCAAAAACTATCAGCAACATCTGGAGTGATGTTTAAAAGGTCCTTAACTTTTATGTATTTATGATTGCAAATAATTTCCTAAAAACAAACAACTAACTCCATGCCTTTTCCTCCCTTTGCGCTTTGCCTATTTGCAAGTTCAAGGGCAGATATCAAACAAAAATGAAACGTTTCACTTCGGACCACGGTTAGATGTGGAATGTTTCCTCTCACAGGAACTTCTTCCAAAGGGGCAACAACAAGGCAAAACAGAAATTACAGAAAAGAAAAGAAAAAAAAAACCAAAAACCCAAAAGCAAACCACATTTTGCAATCTTAATCATAGCTTTCTGGTGTTTGTTTATTTCTCAAAATAGAAAAACTTTGTTTACATTGACTCAAAACCTTGATTCAAAAGCTTCCTACTGGGCATCCCGGTACCCTGTGCAACCAGCCAGTCTTACTGGTGTTACCGCTTCCTCTCGGCTGTTTGTTGCATCCATTTATCATCTCCCTCTACAATTAGACCGAAAGCTCTTTGGGTCAGGAATGAGACCAATGAAATGACCAGTCCTTTCCAAGGCCTTTGAATGTTCTGCTAGTAGAAATAGCATGAGTTTACAGCTATGAGAATTGCCCAGAAGCAGATGTATGCATACAGATACCTGTATGCACAAGTGCACGGAAAACGTCTGCGAAATGTGCACCCGTGCGCTCCTGATCTTCTGCTGTCTCCTCCTGTCCTCATGTTCTGTAGCCTTAACCAAGCCGGTGTCTTTTACACAGCTTCGCCAAATTTCTCGCTGCATATACTAGGTCTTGGAAATCAAAGCCATAAAGATATCATGTTCAACGAGAGGAGAATTTCGCAGCCGTTCAGCTGAATGTAATCACCAGCTGCACTTAGTCAAAATTTACCTGGGTAAGAACTGAACGAAACACAAATATAAGGTTCGGCTTACTGCGAGTGGTTTGTACAAGCAAGCTGGACCCATGCTGTGCTTTTCACAGCAGGTATTTATGTCCGCTTTTTGCACCAAAGAATTTTTTCAGGAATTTGCAAGAAATGAAAGCAAGGGAAAATAGAGACCGTGCGGTAAAACACAAGTGAAAATTCTGGAAGTATTTTGCATTCGTGTCTGGATGCAAGTACTTTACCCACAGCAGTGACTGGCAAAGGCGCTGGGGGGCACCCAGGGTTCTGGATGGCCCAGCCCCGGGGCGGCGAGGCAGCGGCGCTTCCACCGGCGCGGCACCTGCGGCAGCTTTGCCTGACGCGGATGCCCGGGCCCTGCACCTCGGGACCATCAGGGTCTGTTCTCCGGCATCGCTTTTACAGAGTGCTGCCGCCAAAGGCGATGAAGCCCAGTAAAGGTGAACAGAATGAGGCCTGGAGATTCCAACGCTGTAAAACCGAGGGGCCCTGGGTGCCACAGCCGCCTCTCAGCGCGTCCGAGAGCTGCGCCCGCGCGCGGGACGTGGCGTGGCGGTAACTCACAGGAGGACGCGTGCGGCGTTGGTGCGCAGCCTTTCGAGACAGGCAGGTAAACCGTGAGAATAAAGTCCTGTCTGGAGAACCCCAGGCACTGGAACTAAGGCTAGGAAAGATGGAGAGGCAAAAGCCGACGGGCTGTTCTCAGTGCTCTGCTGAATGTGTCCACACCAAGCCTGACCTGGGGATGTTTTAAGCCTCCAAATGCTTTTGATTTTGACATTTGTGTCATGCTCTGTCCCTAGCATCATTAACTGAAAGCTGACTGAAAGCTGTTACTTAACCTTCACACCTTCACACAGTGAAATTTAGCAGACTGAAGAAAGGAAGCTTGTAAGGATTTTTTGGGTATGTATGCCTGGCTGTCTGGGGTAAATAACCGCTGCTCTTCTGCAGTGAGAAGGGAAAAAAGAAAGGGATCGAATTCATTTGGTTATTCAGGATTAAGGGAAATGTCCTACAGAATCACTAGTGGGAGCAGTGAACTCGTGAGGCATTAAGACTCGGTCCCTATTTAAAAGAATTTGTACTCGTGTATGCATATGTGTGAATATACATGTAAATAAATGTAAATATAAATAATATAAATATAAAGGCTCCTGCCTTGAGGTGTTTAAACTGAATTTTGATTTTGGGGCAAAGCCTTCAAGAATGACAACAGGTTTTGATTGAAGGGAGCTTCTCTGAAGCATCAGAGTACATGAATGTCTATATGCAAATCAGCATACCTGCCTAGCCTTGATCGCTTCCTACGTCTCCTCCCATAGATTTCACCTCTCTGCCTGCCTTAGCTCGCATCCCACCACGCTCTGAAGGAAAATGCGGACAAAAGGGTCTTCTCAGCAGCCGCTTGGGCTGTGCCGCTCCCCAGCTGAAACGCTATCGCTGGCATTGCTGCTCTGTACAGTTCCAGTTTCTCGGTCTCTGCTGTTAATTTTTAATGGAATTCATTATCCTCGGCAAAGAAAGAAGGATGCGGTACACTGATTTCTTCTGGCCCTGTGGAGGATTCATCTGAGTCCCAGTATTCGTGGGGATCACATACAAAGACATGAACTGCTAAATTTCTCAAATGCCTTCTGAGCTCTTTGAGAGGGCTTAGGCCGATAAAGGAGTAATGTATGGTCAAGCAGTTTGCAAACGGGCCGTTTACAAACGGGCCACTTGGGTTTCACATTGATACTGACTCTGAGTGCTGGGAATCAGTCTAGAAGACTGTCGTCGTTGTTGCTTTTGCCCTTTTTGTAGATCTCCTCTGTGGCTTTGGGACTTATTTACCTCCAAAATTTGTATTTTTCTCTCCCCGCATCCTTCAGAGAAGACCGTCCTCCCCTTCACCATTGCTTTAAAACCTATACTTTGCCATAGGTTAATATTACATGTTGTGTGGGAAAGGAGTGTGTAACTGGCAGGTTTGGAAAACAAAAGAAGTTTCTGTATCTAAATCCAGGTCACACTTTCTCATCTCCCAGGAGTATTTTAGTTCCTGCATGCCTTCCTCAGTACAAGCAAACGCCGGGTTGCAGTGGTTGTCTAGTGATTTTGATGCAGACCTTAAAGCTGCAAACATAACAAACACCTCTTTCTTAAAACATACTAATAAAAGAGAAAAAAGGACAAAAGAAAGAAAGAGAGAAATAGCTTTTGGTGGCAGTTTACATCCAGAAAAAAGAAAAGTTTGTGAAGAGAGAGCTGCAGGTACCTTTGGTGTTCTGTAGAGAAGCTTGCTAATCACACAGCACATGGCGGGGCTTGTTAAGGTCATGCAGTGTTTTCTCCCTCTATGTTAAGGCAGAAGCTCATCACTGTTGAAAATCTCAAATCACTTTATAAGTAACACCTGGCTGCGCAAAAGAAGCCTAACTACAAGTCCATAGACACTGGGTAAATCTTCCTACAGTTTTCTGTGATGTAGGAGCTGAAGTGACTTTTTTTTCTGAGGTGATCACAGCATCTATACTGAGATTTGTATAAACTCAGAAAGAAATTGAAACCCTGGGCCCCACGTCTCTCAATAAGGCCCAGCCCTGCACCTGAGCAGGCATGCCTTAGCTGCTCTTGTAGAGCATGAACAGAAGTGACGTGCCCTACACACAGATGTGTTGGCGCATGAAAACTACGTGGCGTACGACTGCGCGCTGCATCCCGAACGTGGGCACCCCCTTCCCCAGGTTCCAGCCCAAGGAGCTGGTTCAAACCTCTGCTCTCCCGCCTCACTCTGTGTGCCTGGCCTGGCCCTGGGGCAGCTCCTTGCTAACACCACAGAGAGGGAGAACTTCTTCCCGCTCCCCCAGCTCCAGCCACTCTGCCCTGCCCTCAAAGGCTGCAGGACCTGCTTCTGCCACTGTTCCTGGGTCTCTTCTCATTCTACCTAGGTCCCTCTGTGACCCACTGGAATTAATGCAGCTTCAGAAATAATCATGGCAACTACAGGGCTTCACTTCAAACACAGCTGGAAGTCCCAAGCACGCAAGATATGGTACCAGCTCTTCTCCTCAAGGACTGCCTTTGACAGCAAGGGGAATATGAAAGCTGTGATTTGCAAGACGCGACAACTTGGTCAGAAGAAAGCAACTTTCCAAGGCCGAGCACTGGGACAAGCGATGCTAAAGTGAAGTTAACCGGTGCGGCTGAGTTCCAAATGACTTTTTGTTCGGAAACTTGTCTATAGGTTTGAAAATATAAACCCCTGTCAGGCTGGTTTACGTACTTCGTTACTACACTGCCAAAAGAAAAGTCATCACAATAAATCTGGAACCAAGGATAATTCCTGAGAAGAGAGGCCAATGGGCAAGATATGAAGCACATTTAAAAATGTCATTTTGCAGCTGCTGATATAACTTTACCAACATGTCTGCCAGCTCGCAAGAGATATCTGAAATACTGCTAGAGGAGGGAGCAAATGGAATGCAATTATTTCCTGAAATGCAAGTTCAACAGAGAACTGCTGGAGATAGAACTGACTTTTTTTTAAAAGCTGCTTTGGAACGCACTGAATTTAACCATCACTCATCCGGGGCGGTGGTGGGGGAGGAGAAGCTAACTTAATGGTTCCAGTTTGACAGATGTCTACAGGGACCCAAATTCTGCACTTAATTACCCCTCTTGCCCTTTCAAAGCTGCAACCGTAAGGTCATAACTTATTTTTCTCTGTACACCAGGGAACGCTTTAGTCCTTAATGAAATATTAAACGTACACACTCAATTCAACGAGCCCTTGGGAATCTAGCTGTCTGAATTACCTTTACAAATAAGGGAACCTACCAGAGGTTTACTTTGGAGTCAGTATCTTTAAGAAAAAGATTGATTTGCTTAGCCTTCGTGAGCTGGGCTGTCACAGAAAGTATTAAGAAATGGTCTTCAGCTATGATTATAGGAAGACGAGCGCTTTTTGGCTGGACAGTCAGGGAGATGTCTGGGAGGCAGGGAGGGAGGGAACTTGCTGAATGTAAATACTGACCTGTGGAAATCTGCCTGATAAAAGGCCCCGTAATTAATATGGGGTTTCCAACCCTCTGTTTTCCCAGTGAGAGATTTAGCCCTACTTAAAATCTTGGCATCAGACTAAAATAACGGCAGTCTCCAGAAATCTAGCCTGAGAGAGAAACCCACTGGAAGCTCTAATGGTAGCCTAATAAAGCGATAACAAACCTTGTATCAATTTTTCATCCGAAAGGTAGGTATCGGATTGCCGCAGGGCTAACAGAGCCTCAGGATTGCCACTGTTGTCAAAATTTATTTCTGAAAGCCTCATTAAGGATACAAATCCAATTCAGATCTCTGTAGAGTCACTTGAAAATTACAGTGTGATAAAAATGAGAAGCAATGAGGGTACCCTCCATCCCACCACAGGTTACCCAAGAAAGCAAATGCCAGTCACCTTGCGGATGTGCTCCTGCAGTCCCGTGACCCCGTACATCCGCAGCACGAACCAGAGCTTCAGGGAGCGGAACCTCCTCTCCAGGGGGATTTGCCAGTGCTGCAAGCCAGGGAGAAGGGAGGGCACCCACGTTAGAAGCCACCCTTGCAGTGATACTGCAGAAATTGTACATTCTGCAATGATTGTGAAGCGCACCACATTGCCACATCCTACAGGCACTTGCTAGAGGGGGGGTCAAATGATAATAGCAATGTCTATTTCTGGTTAATGCCCCGGTGTGACTCTTTAATACTCAAAATTTTCAAATGATGACTGGAAAAGGAGATTGGTGTCAGAATGGAAGGGTGACAAGGCAAATCGAATTTTCTTTGTGCATCCTGAATTCTCCTTGAAGGCTTTGGAAAAATACGTATCTCAGAAGCTCATGGACGCTGCCTTGCTTCCAGTTGTGGGGCTAACATCTACAATGACAGGCCCATTTTCCATTTCAAAACAACAGTGGTTCTATTGGTTAAAGGTTAAAACACAAGTGCCTTTAAAAAAATGTACTATTCACTATGTTAAGGAAAAAAATCTTTAGGACATTTCTTTCTACTGCCTAAACCTTGAGATATCACACGTGCAAGATGATTTCTGCTTTTAAACAATTTTTTTCAAAAAAACAGAGTTTAAAGTTTCAGCTTGAGGAATGATGAAAATTTAGCAAGCTGCATCCTTCCTGGAAAGAAAGATAAGGTTTTGAGGTTTATGATAGTAGCAGAAAATAAAAGCCCTGGAAATACCAGTGTATACAAGTAATAGCATTAATTATTACATTGATGCTGTACTTACCCGATAATCTGTTACAAGGCCTGGAAGTTAAAGAAAAAGTGTTCACATTGCTTCATCACAACAGCCAAAACCTACAATCATTCTAATGCTACTGAAAAAGCTGGATCTTAGCTCTCCTTTCTGTTTGCCACAGCCTTCAGCATCATCAGCGTCAACAGGACCACTGCGCACCTAGCAGGATACCTGCCAGCATGCTAAGCGAAGGTGCTTGTAGTAAGCTTCATTCCTTAGCTAGTCAGAATATACCACGAACAAGTTAAGCAGTTTTCAGGAGGAGAAACACATTTTCCTTGCTGTTAGGCTTCAGATCCTGTGGAGGTGATGGACTAAATGCTGGGTTTATTTTCCTCTTGTAAGGAAAAGAAGTAGCAGATAAAATGGCAGTTATTAATTTTGTTTGAAACAGTTTGCAGCATCCCCAAACTCACTTCATCACTCTTTCTCTGCTTCGACCTACCTTTGAAACTCATTCATGTATCTGTTGCTCATTCTTCAGCACGTCTAATAAGTGACGTGAAAATTTGGTTCAGAATTGACCCCTCCTGTTTGGAGAACAGTATTCTGTGGGGTTTTATGGCTTTTCATTTGATGTAGTGAAAGCCCCTTACAGACACAGACTGACCAAGCCACGAAGCAGCCCAGGGAGGGCGTTAGTAGTTATCATCTTTTATGTGAGCGCACAGAGCCAAGACACATCGACCTTTGCTTTGACTCAGGTAATTACAGTGATTTCACAGTAAAGGAAACTCTAACATGAAGCTGGATTGCTTGCAGTAAGCCAGTGACAGAAATTAAACTGACCTAAAATCTAAAGCACTTCTTTAGGAAAATGTGGAAGCATCTGCTTAGCTTGCTTATTCTGCTTTATTAGTCTGCCGCAGGGCATCAGCTTCACAGGAAAGTATGGACTTAAATTCCACGGGAAAGCGCTGTCTAAGTGCTCCTGGAATTATGAACCTCAAGGTACCATACAGAACCGTAGCTTCTGAATTTGGCCAGTTTGCGTTGTCTAGGTAATTCTCAGCCTTTGTGTGTTCTGGGGGTAACAAGCCTGTATTTCCTGCGGTACGAGCTCTCTTGCCAACGTGCTCTCATCTACGCAGCCAAAACGTAAGAAGCAGCATGGTCCTTCCTCCCGGCAACATACAGCCTTCTGGCTCTTTAACCTGTTCCTAGGTTATTTTCCAGATGAGGAAAAAACCCACACAACAAGCAACAATCATTAACCTGTTTCTGGACCTCAGGAAACGAACACGGTTGTCTCAGCTCGGTAACGAGGAAATTCGCTAACATTCACGTTCTGCTGCATTGTAGCAGGCATTTTTGTTTGATAGCTGTGAGGCCGGTAGCAAAGACAGTAAAGCAACTGGTGACAGATAAATAATCCTACGCTCCTGTAAGGGGCTGTGTCTAATGATCCACAACAACGCCTTTCACAAGCTGTGAAGCAGACTGCAATCAACGGTTAGTCCTTGATTACAAGCCTTAGTCTCGCATCTGTATTTAACCAGGAGGAATTGCATTGCGGGGGCAGAGGTGGCGTCCACAATAGAGCATAAAGCTGCATTCTTCTAACACTGCCGTCAGGATTTCACCTATATCCTGGGTTGCCAGGCAAGCTAGTATAATCTTCCTGGTGTGATGATGCAAATCACGTAAAATCATAATTAATGACAAAATAAAGACTTTCCCCTTGGGGGCACACGTAATTGCCATACGGTTATTAGGAGTAATTGCTCACAGATAGATGCATTTTTCTGCTCACTTAAATTCTTGAGTGAGAGACGAGCAAATTCAAAAATGCTACTTCATCTGCCGTGTAAACCATGATGGGAATTCTCGGACCTGAGACACAGTCAGAAAAATAAGACCCTCCATTAGACCAGTCCTATTTCCCGGAGTGCTGACATCCATAAACCACATAGGGATCAACAGGGCCTTTGCAAATTTGACTATTTTTATGGGAGGCATAAGTGTGGATTGGATTTAACAGTTAAACTAGAGGCATTTTGCATTCGAAAAGTGTTGTCCAGCTCTTTGGAAAATTGATGTCAAATGGGAAGAGAGCACAGAAAAAAGTAGCATCGCTAGACTGGTAGGAATCAGCTGATCTGGTTGGAACCGCTATGCCCAGGTCACATAACGTACTGTCACACCTTCCGAAGGCAAGGCGAAGGCTGAACAACCGCTCACCCAACTGGGGAGATAAAGTTTTCAGGTCAGCTAGGTGGCCTCACTGGAAGCACCTGGTTTTAAGAAAGGTTTCGTTTCCTTCTGGTGTTATTTAACCTGGGGAAGACCTAAGGTTCTCCTATCAGTACTGTCAGTTGGCGCAAGGCCGTATTTTCACTTTTGTTAAGGTTGTATGTTTTCTCCTCAAGACAACTATTTTTCACGTATGCTAAGTAAAAGCTAGGGATGTAAGTATATTTGCCATAACTTGTATTTTTCAAAAAAAAGGCAAAGAAACAGTATATATTTTTTCTTAACAAGCCTAGCCTTTGGAGGGTGAACCTCAGGTCCAGAGTTACTGCCTTTTCCTGTTTACTGCACTGTTCTGTATTTGCATTGCTTGGAAATGTAGAAAAGGAATAAATGCAAAATTTCTGCCAGTTCAGGATTAAGGCACAGGAATCCATTTTTCCTAGGGCTTTTCGGTGAATGGTGGAATTCTGGGTGTTGCTAGGTATGTGCAAGGAGCAGCACGAATCCATTAAGGAGCTTTGTACAGGGCCCACGATTTCGGAGTCCTTTGCCAGCATGTTGTGAAGAGCTTTCGTGAGCGTTTGGTACAAGACAGACAGATAGCCTGCACTTACCTCCTTCTCTACGATCAATGTAAGAACATGAGAGCAACAGGATAATGTCCCAGAGAGCTATCATTCAAAGCAGAGCACGGATATCAAACACAGCTCACCCCCTCCTTGCGCTTTCAGGGAATGTTTGCTTCTGACATGAGCATTTGAAAATTTGAATCTGAGCTCGCATGCATAGCTAAGAAAAAAAGGTCACAGACTTCAGGAACCCTAAAAGCAAATCAGATCTTGAAATCATCCTGGCGAAAGATCTGCGGGGAAGGCAGGTTAAGGGACTCGATACACAGCACCCAATAACGTGTTTATCTGACTAGCAAAAGATCATGAAGCATTTTCTCAACACTCCTACAGAGGGTCAGTGGTAAATCTGGAGCTGGGGAAATCCCAGTACAAAAGTATCAATATAATGCTTTATAAAATGACTTTCCAAACAGCTTTTTGGACTAACTAAAATCTCACTACATGGCTGCTTGCACTTTCACAAGCTTAACTCCCTGCGGCACTTTGAAAATGGAGAGAGGCTCCTAAACAACTTGGGCAGTTTCAAGAATTTTAGTTTTCATCTTAAATCCTTTTTTCCATTAAGTAGCAGTGTGCAAACAAAATTACATTAATAATAACAATCTCATTTAAGTATAAAATTACCAGACTCCTGATGTTGATGCTGCAGGTAGAGAGGTTCTAATTTAAAGGCGCCTATTATATCGGATCTTTTTTTCACCCTGTATAAAAAAGAAAGAAATGAAGTCGAGAAATTGAAGAAGTAAAATTGAGGGGACTACATTTCCACAAGAAGTGAAGGCAAATTGAATGCGTTCAAACTGGCGGATTTCCTGAGCACAGCCTGTGCCATTTTCAGTGCTGTTTCACAGCCATATCCGTACTGTGCTTACACGTAGCTAAGTGTAAGGCTCA